CTCCCTTCGGCGCCCCGCGCTCCCGGCTCGCGGGCCAGGCGGGCGGCGGGTGAGGCTTCGGCGGTGGCGGGCTACCTTCCAAGGGCAGCCGGGACGGAGGAGGCGGGAGGCCTCCCCGCCCAGCCGGCACTGGAGACCAGGAGGGACGCTTGCCTGGCTGGCGAGGCCGTAGTTCACGGGCTGCGGACTTCCCGCCCTCGGCAGCTCGGAGGGGAGCTGTCCGCTCTCGCCGCGCCCTGCATGGGAGGGGGCAGCGCCTGGGGCTCGCCCAGCGTGGGGGAGAGAAAATTCAGCGGAAACCCAGGGTAGGGTGCTGCAAAGGGGAAGCCTTGTCAACGCTTTGCATGGAGTTCGTTATTTGACCCTTCGAGTTATCTTGAATGACTCAAATACTCAGTTCCCACATTGCGATTTTTCTCAGCGCCTAGTCCCAAACCAGAAACAGCTGAGCAGGCTGTTTTACAGTTCCGTTTACTCCCTTCCTGCCCAAAGCTTGCTGGGCTAGAGGACCCTTTTCCTGCTGTCTGGGGAGGTTTATATTCAAAGATATTTAAATTCAAACGTATTATTTTCCAATCCTCGTTGAAAGGGCCTTTCCCAGGGGCTCTTATTAACTGTTCCCCACCCCCCACGTTGGGGAGTTTCTCATTCTGGATTTTGGAATCTTCTGTCCCAAGATAAATACTGCCTCTTCATTGATTAATCCAACTACCATCTGGATGGCTTTAATTACAATAAATTTAAACTTACTATGCACACTTGGTGTGAGGGCTTTTTGTTTGAGACTTGGAACTTAAGCAGGACCCTCTACCAAAACATTTCCTCTCTGACCTCCAAGCTGTTTGGTGTGTGGTAATTAAACGATTATTTGAGATTCTTCTATTGTATATCAAGATTGTTTTTCTTTTAATAATTCATGGGTAGAGGAACTCAGGATCATAGAAATCGTAAAGTTTGGCCCTTAAGCCATAAATTAAAAGCTAAAAATAACAGTAAAATTTATATTTACTTTAATGATCACCTCCCTTTAAAAAAAATCAATATTAGTTTAACACCTAATATATGCTTAGCACAGAAATCTCGCTCTCAGGATAAGCCTAACAAAAGTTTAAGCAAGCCGGACAGACATAATAGAAGGCCTAATAAACTTGATACACTATCTCTGGTCACCGATTTTTAAAAGCAGTTTAAACTTCGTTAGTACCTATTTAACTGATATTGGATCTGCTATTCCTTCCGACTTTGGTTTAATTTTGTCCTGAGAGATTCTGTTTTCCTCCTGGAGCCTACATCCTTTTGTTTCTATTCATTCCCTTTTGTAAGTCTTTTCTGCACCTGTGATGCTTGGAGCCTGGACCTTGAGTAGATAAGCAAGGAAGTGAGTAGTCGTTATTTACAAATGAATTCAAACGTGTAGACACAAGCGACCTTGCCAATTTTATGCTAATTCTCGTATTCATTTACTGAGGATATCTTTGAAAAGTGGTTTTCCTTGGGGAAAGAATTTGCCAGATAATCTGAGATCCTGCAGAGAAGTAACATAAATCTTCCTTACAACATTTATTTTTCTTCTTGCAATCTTGAAATCTGTAATCTAAATAAAACAAAAACATTTTTATTACTATTACATTTATGAGTAATTTTGTAAGCACTAAAGTTTTGTCTCTATGGAAAGTGTAGGAAATGGAGTGGCATGCTATAAATGTTTTATGGCACTTAGTTTGAGATGCCCACAACTGGTACTCAGAGTGAGTTATGCTGGCAATACCAAACAACTGGCAATAAAACCTTTATAGTCTCTCACACCATTATGTAGTTTGTTTATGTTACATAAATCAGAGAAAAGATATTAAGGGAAAATTTTAATATTTAGTCTGTCACCATACGTGATGTTCCTTTGCCTGTTAAGTGAAATTTCCTTAATTTATCCAAAGTCAACACAATTGTATTTCCAAATGTATACAACATGTCTACAAATAGCAACACTGAATCTTTTTAAAATTGATGATACTGTCTGAAGAATGTCTTCTTCCCTACTGAAAATATACTCTCAACTCTATAACCTTGTCATGGTCTCTCAAATAATATTCAAGTTGCATTAAGTCTGAAATAGGCAGTGTCAAATATCTAAAATGAATTTCGTTCTTGTTTTAAATAAAAATGTCCGTTCCATTCTTTGCCTATGGAACTCCTACTCATCCTTTAAGATCCAAATCAAAATGTCTTCTGTGACATTTTCCCAACTCCCCCAGGCAAAACCAATTGCTTCCCTTTCAACTGCTCTATGGTGCTTTATTCCAATCTTTATATTTAGCGCTATCACGTTGCATTACAATTAGTTGTGTATCTGCTACTCTTCCTCACATATTATGAGTTCCTTATAGGTAGGGGTTGTGTTTAATTCACCCTAGTATCTCCAGCACCTAGTACTATAAACCCGTTGCTGTTGATTCCAGCTCATAGCGACCCTATAGAACAGAGTAGAACTGCCCATAGAGTTTCTAAGGCTGTAACCCTTACCAGTGGATTGACACTATGGCCACAACAATGTGCTCAGGCATAACAACGATTGTGAGGATTGCCCAGGACCGGGCAGAATTTCATTCTGTTGTGCATATTGTCACTATGAGTTGGAACTGACTCGAGGGCACCTAGCAACAACAATCTTTACAGAAGCAGACTGCTACATCTTTCTCCTGCCAAGTAGCTGGTGGGTTTGAACTGCAGACGTTTGGGTTAGCAGCCAAGCACTTTAAACACTGCACCACCAGGGCTCCTCCTAGTACTATACCTGGCACTGTATTAGGCTCTAAATACAAGTTTATTGAGTGAATAAATACACATACAAAACCCAAAAAAAACAAACTCACAGCCGTCAAGTCAATTCCAATTCATAGCGACCCAACAGAATAGAGTAGAATTGCCTCAGGGTTACCAAGGAGCAGCTGGTGGATTTAAACTGCCGACCTTTTTGTTGGTCGCGGAGCTCTTAACCACTGCGCCACCAGGGTTCATACTACTTTTAAAATACTCATTCAGAAATTCCATTTAGTCATTTACCTATTCCTTTTAACTAGGAAAAAAAAACCTATTTCTATCTCAATCCTAAAATTCGAGGATAGGGTTTGAAAGTAGATTAAACCAAAGGCAGTTTTGTTGCAAGATGAATTGAATTATTCTTAGGAAGGAGTCTTTCCTCCTACCCAGTCTCCCCATTTACACTCCCTTCTGAATTTATTGTCTGGGAGTTAATGATGATTTAGAATATGCCCGTCAGGTACATCAATGTTCATTACAGCATTACAATAGTCGAAAAGTGGAAATGACCAAAGTGTTCATCAACAAATGAATGGATAAACAAAATGTGGTATATGTATATACCAAACCCATTGCCCTGGAGTTGATTCATACTCATGTTACTATTGTTGTTAGGTACCATCAAGTCACTTCTGACTCTCAGTGACCCTACGTAGAACAGAACGAAGCACTGTCCAATCCTGCGCAATCCTCACAATTGTTGTTATGCTTGAGCCCATTGTTGCAGCCACTGTGTCAGTCTATCTGGTTGACGATCTTCCTCTTTTTTGCTGACCCTCTACTTTACAAAGCATGATGTCCTTCTCCAGGGACTGGTCGCTCCAGATAACAAGTCCAAGACGAAGTCTTGCCATCCTTGCTTCTGGTGAGTATTCTTGTACTTCTTCCAAGACAGATTTGTTCATTCTTCTGGCAGTACATGGTATATTCAGTATTCTTTGCCAACACCATAATTCAAAGGCATCAATTCTTCTTTGGTCTTCCTTATTCATTGTCCAGCTTTCACATGCATATGAGGCAATTGAAAACATTATGGCTTGGATCAGGCTCACCTTAGTCCTCAAAGTGATGTCTTTGCTTTTCAACACTTTAAAGAGGTCTTTTGCTGCAGATTTGCAATAACATCGCTTGATTTCTTGACTGCCACTTCCATGGGTGTTGATTGTGGATCCAGGTATAATGGAATCCTTGACAACTTCAGTGTTTTCTTCTTTTATCATGATCTTGTTTATTGGTCTACTTATAAGGATTTTTGTTTTCTTTACATTAAGGTGCAAGCAAGATTGTCATCTGCGTATTACAGGTTGTTAATGAGTCTTCTTCCAATCCTGATGCCCCATTCTTCTTCAGATCATCCAGCTTCTTGAATTATTTGCTCAGCATACAGACTGAATAAGTATGGTGAAAGGATACAACCCCGATGCACACCTTTCCTGATTTTAAACCACAGTATCCCCTTGTTCTGTTCAAACCACTGCCTCTCGGTCTATGTACAGGTTCCTCAGGAACACAATTAAGTGTTATGAAATTCCCATTCTTTGAAATGTTATCCATAATTTATTATGGTCCACACAGTCGAATGC